AAAAATCTATGTGAGGCTATACTGAAATTCAAGGCTACACTGTAATCCATTTCTCAACAGCCATAAAAAAAAAAAAAAAAAAAAAAAAGAGTGGCTTCTAAGTGTGCAAACACAGTATATCACGGAATGACAAATTATCTAAATCATATTCTATGTTACCCAGAAACCATCTTATGAATCATGTTAGGCTGGCCGGTAGCTTTAGTCTGTTTATTACCCATTTACTTTTTCTAAATCGATTCTAATGCTCTCAGGCTTGGGATACATACCCAGTTTTCATTTCCCCCTAATTCTACTGCTGTGTGTGTGGTGCCAATATTTTGATCTGAAATAATGTGTTACGTATAACAAACGTCAAAATGGGACAGATTAGGATAGAAGAAAAACCAAGGAGAATGAAAAGTGCAGGGACATAGGAAGGCAGTCCAGTGTGAGAAGACATACAATAGCATATGAGAAATTGAAAAAAAAAAAAAAAATCACCTATATAATGGGAGAAGATAAAATGAATGACAACCTGTGATGAATAAACTTAGTGCATGAGTCACAACATATCAAACATGTGTTTTGAAAAGCATCTATTCACATTCATCAGAATGAATGATGAAGAAAAAATCTGCAACAATGGACAAACTTCTATCTACTTCATGCATATAAAAAGGGGAGAGAAAGAGAGTGAAAGAGAGGGAGAGAGAGAGAGAAATAAAGAGAAAAGTTGACCTATTTCACACCACAGTACTTACGATGGGATGAGGGGAGGGGGAAGTCCACCCGCATTGCCCCCCTGACGTGCTGGTGGGGCTGGAGTGGGACGTGAAGGGATGGCTGGGGCAGGGCGGCTACCTCCTGGAACTGGGGGAGGAGCTCTGGACACTGCAGGAGGAGGTCCTCTTCTCATGTTGGCGCCAGGTGAGGGAGGGCCAGTCTGCCCAATCCTGTAACATTATCAACTCATTACTTTTCTTGTTCTATTTTCCTTTTTAAATTTCCGTTTAAAGCCTCTGCTCATACTTAGCTTGTATTTCCTGTAGGGATTTCAATGTCGCATAGCAAAATTCTCAGATATAATTGCTTTTGAAACTTTCAACTTTTTGTTATTTTTTACTGTTCACCACAAGATGGTCAGATTTCTGATGTGCATTCTTAAAAATCTTGATAATTCACTTCCAACATATTCAGACAACAACATGGCCTTTTTCTGATCTAATCATCTATAGACTAAAGCTGAACAACAGCCACTAGGACTCTCTTAATCTTCTTTTCATGAAACTGAATGGTCACAAGAATAAATAAATAAAGAGAGAGAGAGAGAGAGATAGAGAAAAAAACAGTTTTGGTTAATACCCAAAGCCCTACTTCATTGGCACAATTTTCATAACAGCTTAATGTTACATTCATTAAATAATATCCATGAAAATAAAAAATGAACAGTAGTAGAACCATATTTCAGGCTGAGACTCTCTCTTGCGGCCAGACCTACACACATGAGGGAGCTATTTCTAATTTTAGAGATGGCTATGGTCATTTGGACAAGGAGAAACTACAATGTAGGATATTGTAGAATGCTTTTCACAATCTTAATCTTATTTATTTACATATTCAAACTGTTGCTATCTTTAAAAGATATGAATTGTTATCCCTGACATACCTTCACTAAAGGAGGTAATCTGCCCACCCACCCCTAAACCACATACAAAATCACAAAACATTCAGTTGCTAAAAAACTAGCTGATGGAGCAGATCGTCTCCTGGAGTGCCTTCAGATTCTTACCTTGGACTCTCCTGACCAGTTGCAAGCCAGTCATCCTTGACAGGGGGTGGCATTGGAGTGCTGACTGTGGCCATGGAAACATCTCCAATTACTCTGAGTGCCTCTTTGCAAGCATGGTACATTCGCAGCATCTCCTCACGCTTTCGAGCCTCCTCTGGGCTCTCTTCCATCATGGCATTCTGAACATAAAGAGTAACATCAGAGCGGTAGTAAGAATGCCAGAGTGAGACAAAGCAAAGGGGAGGAAGATGATATCAAAGAACAAGTGAAAGAGAACAAAAAATTAAACATTCTGAATATCTAACAACTAAAAACTAAATGAGCAGTTCAATTACATGAACATACTCAACCACTACAGAAAATTCCCCTTAAAAACAAATAAAATTACTACTAACAATTTCCCATTCACTGGTATTAAACAATATATAAATAAAAAGGAAAGAAGGAATTGCACAGGCAATTCTCGATTTAATACCAAAATCTAATACCAAAAAAATTAAAAAACCTGAATTATTCACCTACCTGATCTCCACAAGCATAGAGGTGAGCTAGGAGTTCACCCATGATGAACTCTTTGGAATTGTTGATCATCAGGTGCATGAGAGCCTTTGGTACTAAGTCCCGTGTTGTCTTGGTGACAATTTTCATGTAAGAATCTACCAAGTTCCTAATTGTCTCGACTTGACGCTCTAGCTGAGGATCCATCGATGTTGACATCTCACTGCCAGACTAATTGGATAAAAATACTGTAATCAATCCTGCTTAACTGCTTGGTAATACAGCATATTAGTATACGAATTCCATATAACTATTAAACTGTACCTCTAATAAAATAAATACAAGTTATAAAGTATAGATATACTTCTGAGTGGGTAAAAAAAGGGAAAAGACTATTTCATGTTAAATACATCAGACAAGGAAAATGGAGAATAAACATCATGCAAGGTGATACTTAAATTTTCATTAGCTGGCAAAGCCATAAGTTCTTTGAGGGTATCAAGTACACCTGTTGGTCATCCAGATCTTGTAAGCGACATGGATATGGTACTTAATGAACATGAAAAACTTGTCCATCAACAGTTCTAACTTTCCACAATAGTTACAAAGCCTTTGAATAAAACTTGCTCCCTGGGCACCAAATAGTGCATTGTTACTTGCATTTCCTTCCTCCCTCACCTCACAAACAATTTGCCATTAAACATGCCATATCTATAATTCTGTGACAAATAATTACACAAATCAGAACCATTTCTCATTTAGAAATATGAAACAGCCTAAACATTCTATAATACTTTCAATAATTATCAAGTCATATCAAGAACAGAACTTAATATCATTATGCATAATCATTATGATGATCTGTGTAAATTATGTTTGATAAAGTTACATTAAAATAAACTCCTTATTTAAAAAAATATATATATTGTAAATGGCTTCATATAGGAACACTGGTTCTTGCACCAGAATGTCTACAATCTTCTTGGCGTTGGGTGACCACTATCCACTTCATGATGATTCTAACATTCTTGCCCAGCACAAAGAGGATATCCCCTTTACAAAGGAGGGGAAAACTTTCAGACTCTCATGGGACATTTAAATGGTACCCCATATCAAGTAGCTATTGTATAAATGCTTTGACTACTGCACACCCCCACACCACATGCACAAATGAATTCAGTATGTCATCACCATGCATCACACAATTGTGAGAAGTGGAACCACTTTTCATATCTGATAACAACTAAGGGAAAGATGCTAAGCTGATAATTTGTGACACTATTCATGTGTATTAAAGCCCCATTATAATGTGCAAATGATCTTATAGATCATATAAATATACTGGAACATGTTAGAAGGAGCAAGTTCTTGGTCTTCAAAGGAATTTAAAAGGGTAAGTGCGATTTATAACTTTCATTGTTACCAGCTTAAACTTTCACTTTCTGCAATGCTAGTTATCATGGCAATTCATGACCATCATGAATCTATTAAAATACACTTCACTGAATCATATACATTCAACCCCCAAAATCCTACTTGCCATATTCCTGGCTTGCTGCAAACTGTGTGGTCAATCCTCTTCGCCATATCCTGCACCACTTCTCAAAAATGATTGGGCATTTATCCCACTTCTTCTTTATGGTATATTTCATCCAGCTAAATCCCTTCTCTCTTCCTCTCTAACATTCCCAATCCAACAACTTACTTTTATGCATAACAGTTACTTCTTAGTATATCATTATCTAGGTATATAAAAATACATCTGTAAATATACAAATATATCTAATGCCTATTTTACTGTTTTATATGATGAAAATATATTCTTGATCATAATATGCACATTTTATGAGTAAAGTACAGCCATACTGCCATCATATGAGATTGAAACCATGCTTTCTGAACATTTCTCAATCTCTTTTCCTGCAAATCATTAGAGTGCAAAAATGCACAACAGCAGATCTGGGTGTGTATGCATGTGTGTGCGTGCGTATGCATGTGTGTCTCTGTATGACAACTTACCCATATATATACATACACAGAGGACTATGTGTGTAACCATGCCTCTATATTTCTGCTTTTCAGGCCATATATTTATCAGCAGAAAAAAAAAACAGATATACACATAAATATATTTACAAATATAGTTGGAGGAAGATGCATTGTTCTATACTATAATGGTTATTTATCTCCTACAATATATGTTAGGGAAGGTCCATTTTACTTCACAACTGTTTTGATTATTTCACCCAAAATCATACTGAACCTCTGTCTTACAACCCCATGAGTCTCAGCAACAACACCTACACTACATATCACACAATTCTCCTCAATATCATTTTGGGTGACTATAAAGGAGCTGACATGCAAGAGTAAAGGGTGCAGTAAGACCTACCACAAACATGAACATTCTACATTGGTGGCCCCTAAATAGAAGTTTAGTAGATGAAAGATGTGGTATGTGGTGTGTGTAAGAACCGTTAGATAGAAAATATATCAAAATTTTAACAAATCTTTTCTCTTCACTCGTATATCAAAATCTAAAGAAAGGAAAAAGAAAAAAAGAGAAAATAAAAATCTTCTGGTGTAAATTGCCAGTACTAAACATAGCAATATCTTTCTAACAAAATAATAACTAGGAAAAAAAAAGGTAAATCCACCTTAAATCACCAGATACAGAAAATGTTCCAGACTGACCATCTCGGACTTGCCTCATACATTCAAAAACTGATATTATCATTCCTAGCGTATACTATGCAATAACTATTTAAGCCATACATTTTCATCATTTTTTTGAGATATCGGGGCTTTCAAAATTAGGCCATGATACTGATTTTACTGTTAAAAGAGCAATATAGAAAGTTCAGTAGGTTGTTACTTTTAAACTGTTCACACCAGAAGCATGCAAACTTCTGGAGTTGTATTATATGTCTTTACTTACTTTAACTGCTCAAAATGAAGGGGAAAAATTTCTGGGGTATCCCCCCCCATTATTTATTGGGGGGGGGGGCTGAATCAGATATAAGCACTTAACTTTACTTTACTTTATTTTTTTTTTTTTTTTTTTAAGACTATCACAACAGGGCCAGAATTCTATGTGATATAGTCATTACGCAAGAGTCTAGTATTTCTGGCAGGACGTGTGCTGTGTACTGCCAGCCCACCTGCCCATTCGCTGGAGCGAGTCATGACATGTATAAACATCATACATCATTATGTCATGACAGCTATAGGCATGCCTGTCAATAAAGGATTAAGTTTTCAGTATACTATAAACTGACAAATATGTGTCTGTGGATATTCTAGACTTATCAAAGACATCTGGTACCTGAGAAAAACTGAAAATTTCATTAACACACACTCACTCACACACACACACAAAAAAAATGTTTAAAAAAGAAAAGAAAAAAAGGGTCTCTTTTGGCTGAAAAAAAGAAAAAAAAAAATTGAGCAGCACAAATTAAAGGAAAAAAGAAGAGGGGACAGTGTAATTCTTTGGGGTGTGAATGAGTCATGGCACGTGATAGTGAGGGAAGGTCTACCTATGTGATAAGCCAATCAGTACACATATTCTAGGGGCCTCTTACCTCTCCCTTTTGTCAGACATACAAAGGACAGTTATTGCTTGAATAGGTGTTAGCTATGGAAAGTCTCTTACAAACATTGAGATCAAAAAAGAAAATCTTATAAATATACAGTGAATCAAGATCACAGATCATTGATAACTGGCAAGGGATTATCTTTTACTTTGTTTTAATGTTTATCTATAAGTGTCCAAGATACAATTACTCATGAAACTATACCAAAAAAAAAATCTGGGACTCTCTCTCAAAATGCTTATAAATATTCATCCATGCCAGCTACTAAATTCTCTGATGACAATGCTTCTACAGGTAACAAGAATAGCCAATACAATAACATTTAAACACTCTTTACAATTAAGCCGATATCAAAAAACAAAGAAAACACATATCACAAAGTAACATCTACAAGATCTTTTATACATTTATAAGTACACATATATACAATAAGAGTGACCATGCACAAGATAATCGTGGTAAAGGGAAAACACAGTAATGATAAATGGTGAGGAGGACGACAAGGAGAATAAGGAAGAAGGAGTAGGAGGAGGAGAATAAAGCTGAAAGGGGAGAGAAGTGGGAAGAGGAGGAAGCAGAAGGAAGGAGGAAGCAGAAGGAAGGAGGAAGCAGGAGGAGGGAAGAGGAAGTAGCAGGGAGGAGGAAGTAGGAGGGAGGAGGAAGTAGAGGAAGAGAAGCAGAAGTAGGTGGTGGAACAGGAGATGAAGGAAAATGCTGAAACTGAGGAGAAGGAGAAATAATAGAAATGGAAAAATGAAAGGTATGGGATTAGAACGAGGAATATAAGGAGTTTGAAAGAAAGATTCTAGTGGTAAAATGCAATCACAAGTTGTAATAGTCAGCACTACAGCATGACAACAGGATGTACATAAAAAAAAGTATGATAATCTCAAATCTTACTTAAGGAGCATGGAGAGAATGAGGATAGGCAAGAAATGAGATGGAAGAATAGATGGAAAAGGATCATATTCAAACAAATACCACAAATTATATACATGAAAGCTACTGCCACTTTTATATCAAATGTTGAAAAAAATGAAAATAATAACATCCCACCATTTCATACCATTTTTATATTTGCCATTGAAGCCATTAGTGCTATAGTTACTAAATGCCAATCTTTGCCAAATACCATTACTGTAAATGCTTTCTGATTAGTAAATCCATAATTAGCTTACTACTGATCCCAATTGTGTATAAAATGAATAGTGAATCTAATGTTTTGTTTCAAAATTCCAATGAACTTTGTTTGAAAACAATTACTTGTTTAACAATCAAGATTGAAAATAAGTGAAAAGGGAACCCTAGAGACTGATGTTTTTCATTAGTTTATTGGCTTGAAATTTCTTCTGCTATAAAATATAATCTCTTCACTTCAGACAAATATCAACACTGATATGAACTGGTTAAAAATAGCAGGTGATATTTCACCAAACTTTAGTATCACAATGGAAAAAGCATTCATTTTACTTGTTTTACTCATCTATTGCACAATACTACAAAACCAATGACATAATAATAAACGATATATATCTTTATCATTACATAATTGTCACTATCAAAATGAAACAAAACCAACCCACATTCAACAAAACATCCATATATATAAATGGCATGCATGTCTTGCAGATCAAA